CTCATCAGTAATATTGCTTGTTGTCACCTGCACACTTTTGTCTAAATATTTTGTCTAAATATTGCTTGTTGTCACCTGCACACTTTTAGACTGAATGTCATCTGGCAGTAGGCCGCATCGCTCTCCTGTGACTCAGTTACTCATCGATAAGCCAGGCCGTTCCTCATCCTATATGTGGCAAACAGGAACCTCCACTGCATGCCGTTTGAGGGCAGCAGCCGTGCTCTCTGATGCTTGCCCATCCTCAGCTCCTCACCTAGTGTGAGGAGAGACAGAGACCTGCTCGTCCACGCCCGGTTCAGCAGGCTCCCAGCAGCCTACGGGATGGTGCCCCTCTGCGGCTCGCACTGGTTTCAGCCTTTCGAGGAAAAGGGGCCTTTCTCTGTAGCTTTGGGAGAAGCACATTTATATATCACCGCACCGTCTCCCTTGACTAGTGCCTTTTGTTTTCTAAAAAACTTCTATAGATTCTTGGGCTCTTTTGCCTTCCCAGTACACGCTGGCCTGAATTGCCTACATAAGCCAAACCAAGTATTTCCCCCATCTGTGTTTAAGCTTAGTACTTCGTTTTAGGGAGTGAATCTGGGCTCAGAGCTCTACAGTTCATGACGTCTCCACTTTTTGAAAATAGCTTCCAAGGACTTGATGGTCTGGAGCATGCCCACGTTTGCGGGTGGTATAGATACTTACCAGCGTCCTGCTGGAAGCCCCAGACGGATGCCATCCGGTCGAGGAGGTTTGCTCCTCTGTTAGGTTTTTCAGGTTACTCTGTAATTTCCCCCCTATAGACTGCAGTCTGTGTTAAGGCCGTACTAGGACTTCCGGTGCAAAAAGCCCTTGAAATGTGAAATCCCTCACTTGTCTTGATGATAAAAGTAACACAGAAAGGAAAAACTACAACAGATTTGTTACCTGATGGTACCTATTAGTTGGCGCCCCTGAGAAACAGTGCTGAGAGATTTCATGTGGATTTGAGTTACACTCTGGGGGAGTTTGTCACCATAAGCCACTGAGTGGATGCCATTTATGTGTATGCTGCTTTCATCTGTAATAGACGAAGTAAGGATAATATTCTTCATTTAATAATGCACCCAGGAATCATTCAATATAAGTATAAGTTTAAAATTCTCAATTTACAGCAGCCTATTTAAAAAAAGAAAACACAGCAGTCTGGCTAAAAAATATCCTCAGGAAACCAGCCTGGAAGAACAGAGGGTGAAACATGAATGAGCTATTTAGCTTTTCTTGGAAAATGGCATAATTCTCAGAGGATTGAAAGGCCAAGCATTCCCCAGATTTTTGTCAGACACATGTGCCAGTCCACGAAGTGCTGGAACCCCAAATAGAGAGCCTGGATTGATTTCAATTTCAGTAATTCAGGTGTTTGTGGCACAGAATAAACACCACACAGAAGGCAGTACAGCAAGTTACCAGAAGCTCCAGCATGTAATGTAATTTTAGGCAACATTTTTAGCTTCTTCTACATAGGGATAGTTAATCTTTCAGTTCACATAAGCAGAATATTTTATATGTAAAAAAGAAATCCTGGATTAACCAATGTTTGGGACTTACCTGCTGAACTAATTTGTTTTTCTAGGATTATGTAGACCTAACTTTAATCTGTTGGTGTCTCCATTTTGGTAACTCGACAGAGTGTTTGTTGAGTGGAAATGATATAACCCCCATGTGTTAGACGTTAGAAGCTACTAGAACCCACCAACATGGTGTCTACTAATTTCAGGGAGCTTACAGTCTAGCCAGTGAGATAAATATTTATGAAATAATCAGCGGATAGCACAAGACATTTTATAAAAAATGTGAATAATTATGGGACAGGAATTGAAAGGGTAGAGAAGCAAGGACTACTGAACTGTTTCAGAGAAGACTTTAGGCAACAAGGGAACTTAATATAGTCTGGAGGAATTTTATTAGGTTGAGGAAAGAGATGATTTACCAGGCTGGTAATTGGCAAGAGAAAAGCCACTAATTAAAAGAAAAATAAATTAAATACTTATCTATCAGGTATTTCTTTTTAAAAAACTAAGACTTTACATGCATTAGTGAATTTAATTCTAAAATAACCATATGATGAAGGTATTTTAGCTTTCATTTTGGATGTGAGCAAATTGAGTCTTAAAGACATTATGTAACTTGGTGAAGATCACGTAGAAGGAAGCCACCAAGCTGGGATTGTTTTGGGAACATGGAGGAAGTTTGCGTGCCTATTTCTCTTGCTGCAAATGAGAAAAGCTGACATTCTGGTCAATTGCTTTTTTTTTTTGCATGTTCTTCTTACACTGTGAGTAAAGAACTGAGAGGGAGAACTTAAGTGTAACACTAAAATGCATCTGGATGTTTTCTAAGCTTCAGAGTCAGGCAAGAAGGGAAGGATTGAGTATGTGGGGTCTCCGTGCTCAGGGTGGCTGCAGTGATCCTGTCCCCCTAAGTTGTACCGCCCTTCCAGCTCCCATGAGCTCTGCAGTGTGGAGGGGCAATCCTGGCTGGGAGGTCTTCCTTGTCCAATTAAGGACAGAATCTATGCACAGGCTCTGCTACTCCCAGGCAGGTCACGGAATGTTTTATGCTCAGAGAGGAGTGTAAGAACCGGTGGCAGGTGGCTAGTTCCCTCTGAATCCATCTTCCCTTTCTTTCTGGGGGTGAAGTCATTTAGCTAGAGATTTTACTTCCCATTTCCCTGTACAGGCCATGAGAATGAGTCATTGCCTGCGAAACATGAGCGTCAGTGGTATGAGCAACCTCTGTTTCCCATCTGAAGTGGAAATCTCTCTTCTCGGACTTGTTCTGCTTCTCCCTTCCAATGGGCTGGCACCTAGCTGTGCTGGCAACCCCATTCAACCAAGTACACGAGCCGTGCCCTGCAGGAATCTGGATCTCTTAATTACAGAGAAATCGAACATCCTGCCAGCTTAGACTGTCCAACTCCACAATGTTATGTAAAAGAAAAGAAAATTCATTTGAACTTATGAGCCACTGTATTTTGAAGTCTGTTTAATATAAGAGCTTAGATTTCACCCTGAGTAATGCAGAGCATTTCCAAGCTGGGAAGTAGAGCATTGACTTCAAGTCAGTATTTTGTCTTCCTTCATTTTTCCCTTCTTTCCTTCCTTCCATAAATATTTGTGGGACACCAGCTCTGTACCAGCCACCGTGCAAGGTGCTGGCAATAGTCAACAAGAGTCATGTCCCTACCCTCTTGGAGCCTACGTTCTAGCAGGAGAGACAGGCAAGAAAAAGTAGACAGACGTAAAATTAAAATACCTATGGACTGGAATATATGTTGCGAAGGACAAAAACTTGGGGCGGTGATGGAGACAACAGGTGGGAGAAGGCTACTTTAGCTAGTGCAGTCAAGGGAAGCCTCTGTAAGGAGGTGCTGCTTTGGCTGAGCCCTAACAGAAGAGAAGAATCCAGGCCTGCAAGAAGTGGGACCTGCCATTCCAAGCAGAGGAGCATATGCAAAGGCCTGGGCCAGGAGGAAGTTCTTGAGCACAAGGAACTGAAGACAAGCATGAAGGGGGAAGACAGGCCCAACAGGAGACTGGCAGTACGGGTGGGAGTCGTCAGGTCATGGTTTGACTCTCAGTGCACCGGGAGGCTGTCGAAGAGTTTTAAGCCAGGGATGGAAGTGGTGGGTAGGGATAATTCACCTGATTATTGTTTTAAGATAACTTTTGTGGAGAATAGACTGTGAAAAGTTTAAGAGTTTCTACAGTTGCCACAGGCCACAGTGGCCCTGGCAGTGCAGGATGAAAAGGTTATAAGAAAAATCATAGAAGAATTTCTCTAATAACTTAATTATTATTTGAATACTATTTAATTTTAAAAAGTAAGTATAAGCCAATCTTTTTTTTTTTTTTCCCCTTTTTTGTCTTTTTTCGTGTCCGGCAATGGATCGCAACCCTCAGTGTCGCGCCCGTACCGGACCGGGACCGGCAACGGGATCGCAACCCTCGGTGCTGCGCCCGCACCTCGCTCAGCCAGTGAGCGGGAACCGGTCTGTATGTGGGATCCGAACCCTCGGCGGGAGCACCACCGTGCTCCCAAGCGGCGCGCTGTAGCAGTGCGCCACCGGGCCGGCCATAAGCCAATCTTTTTAAGAGTTAAGTTGGAAAAAGTGTTTCTTAAGCAATATACTGTCCCAATTCTGAACAGGTTGGGAATTGCTGGTGTAGAGTTTAGTGGTGCTGTCATCCTGTCAACATTTGTAGCTTTTGGTTGTGGGTGAGGCTGTTGAAAAGGGACTTCCTCAGGCGCTGAGCACTGCTGTTCCTGGAGGTTGTAAGAGTTGTTGCCGTGTGTATAGAAAGCTTCTGAGAGGCCCGGCCTTTGAATTTCTACTCCTGGTTTAGAGATAGGAAAGAAGGAAATGAAAATATTTTAATTTAAAATCAAATATTTAAATACAATTTGAATACATTTAAATACATGTTTAAATTAAATATAATTAAAATGAATATTTTAATTATGAATTAAACCTCCCCAGATCATTAAAGCTATCTATTTTTCTTAAGCAAGGAAGGGCCATATTTAGGTACCATTATTTCCTTCCAATATTAATTTCTAGTGGAGATTTTCCCTCTTAAAGAGCAGTATTCTGACTCTTTATGACATAACTATTGACAAGGACGGGAACCGTACATACAGTTCCCAGATTTGCCAAGTCTGATGCAGTTAGGATTGCGGTTTTCTTTCTAAGGTGGTTTTTAACTCTGTCCTCAGAAATGGAAAAATGATTCCTTATCTTTTTTCTTTTCTTGTCAGAGAAGTCACATCAGGGTCTGAATCCATCCAAGTTAAATATATTTTGAGACTCACTTTTCTTGGGTTAGGTTTTTGCATATGTAAGAAATCTAACAAGAGAAGTCCAAATTTCGGTGTTTACACATCAAAAAATGGTTAGCGTGCCCCAGCCTTGCTTTACAGACTTGCTGAGGATGAAAACCTTCTTTTCTCACACCACCCCCATCTCTCTCCCCAAGAGCTTCTCGAGGGAGTCAGTGGAGGGATCCGGGTATGCTTGACCGCCCCTGGAGAATGGCCACATCAGCTCAGCTGTGCTCTGCATAAATCCCCACGGTGGCATCGGGACCCTCCGGGACAGGAGGAGGTAAGAGGGAAGCACAGGCTCACACGTGTCTGTGTCTCCTACGGCAAGCTTCCCTTCTGTATGCTTTCTTCCTCTGCTCCAGAAAAACACCTGGAAGAGGCCTGGGGAGTCAGATCGAATGTACTGGCTCGGAGCCAAAGCCTGACTTCTCGTGGCCAGCGACTCTACGTTCTCGAGTCTTCATTTCTGTCCTGTGGAAACTGATAGGGAAGGTTAATGAGATTAACGTGGCAAAACACTGTGGGCTTCTGAGAAGGAAGGAGCCAGACACATGCGGTCCCCTGTGAACTTACAGGCTCGTCCATTCCCATTGGGGATATTTTAATGAGCTGTCTTCTAGTAAAACTTGATTGTTTTTATTAGACAGTTCAAAAGTACAGTGTATTCAGGGCTGGTTGAGGAAGTTACACCAGTGGCTACTCAGTAAATGCCTGATGACCAATGAATGAATGTCCCGCTGTGTTTTGCCTCTGACCTTTTCACCAGCTTGGCCTAATGCTTGACACCTTTCCAGACGTGCAGAGATAAGTATTTTCTAGGATGGGTCTTTCTATTCTGAAAAGAAATTGGGTGTATGATAAAATGTGGTAAAACGAAATAGTGCGGACAGAAACTGAACACTAGGTGGAACAGAAAGATGAAATACCCCTTTGGCTGGAGTTCTTCTGAGTTGCAGATTCCTGAGGAAAGCGGAGAAGATGGAAATTGTGTATGTGTGTGAATGTGTATGTGTGTGTGTTTATGAGTATTTTTAAAAATGATATATAAGTGGAAAGAAGAAAAGGAGGAAGAAGTTTTGGTCAATCTATAAAATCACTACAATTTATGAGAGTTTAAAAGGCAATTTCTTTTTAAGGGGCAAATTCCTAATTTCCCACATAAAAGTATGGGAATTGAATGGTAAATCCTTCTCTGCAGACAGGACCCCTGAAAAGAGGCATGAAAAAGAGTTACTGTTCCGTTTCCATTCATGTCTCTTGAAAGCCCATGGATGTGACACTGCCCCGCAACACACAGCCCTGGGTTTCAAAGCTGCCCGGATGACTTTTCAGAAATGATCTATTGTGGCGCTTTGTTTTGTTCGGGTCGCCCTCGTTTTGTTCTACTCGGCTGTATCACTCTTCTGCTGCAACACACAGCCCTGGGTTTCAAAGCTGCCCGGATGACTTTTCAGAAATGATCTATTGTGGAGCTTTGTTTTGTTCGGGTCGCCCCCGTTTTGTTCTACTCGGCTGTATCACTCTTCTGCCGCTGCCATTAATCCACCCTGTCTACTCCTCCCCATTCAGAGGCACATTTTACCCCTCGCCCTGCACAGAGAGCCCGGGGATGAAATGGCTGAAAGGCTCGGCGTCACTGCAGAGGGACAGCCAGGGAGATGCAGGGGCAGCGGGTGCTCGGTGCACGGGCTCACCTGGGTGGCGGGGGTGCTCAGAAGAAGAGGAGGGTGGGGGGAGGGAGAGAGGGACAGAGAGAGAGGGAGGGGGCCAAGCCACGGGAACAGGCTTTATCTGTGGGTCAGGAGCCTGGGCAAGTCAGAAAGAAGACTTTTACTTGCACTTGAGCTGTATGGCTGAGCTGCTCGGCAGGACACTGGAAACACGAACTTGTGCAGCCTGCAAATGAGACCACCCTTAATTTTCGGTTTTTATTTGATTCATTCATTTATAGTTAGGCACGTACAGGTTTGTGTGGCTCAAGGATTGTCAGGCTGGGATAAAACAGCAGAAGATACAATGATTATTCATAAAAGAAAGTTATTAAAAATAAAACTAAATCTGAAATCTGTCATTTGGTTAGTAACGCAAATTTGGTTCACATTCTCTCGTCCTCTTGGAAATCTCATTATGTCTGATTATACTCTAAATAGGGAAGATGCTTCTTTTCCACCTCCTTTCTGACCTACCCATCACCCACTTTTAGTACTGCAAAGGGACTGCTCAGAGGTCCCAAAGAATCCCGTGATATGCCAGTTTATAAAGTGGTAGCAAACATTCCCCAGATGAATCAGTGGCTTAATACAACAAAATGTGTCATTGCCATTCCATGTCCAGAGAGGGGCAGCAGGGGACTCTGCTCAGCATCAGGACAGAGGGTCCTTCTCTACTTGTGTTTGGAGGATGTCCATGGACTGAAGAAGGAAGCTCCCAAGGCTCACGCACTGGTAACTACATCTCTGGCTGGGGAGGTGCTTCCCCTTACAACTGGTCTAATGACTACACCCGACTGCCAGGGCCAAGAGGCTCAGTGTCCAATGTCCAGGAGGAAGGTGTAGGGCAATTGGAGGAGAATGGTCAGGGCCCCTCAGATGTTCAGAATCTTGCTGTGCATTTGATGTAAATATGCACATGCACCCAGGTGTTCCTTGGTTATTATCTAATGTAACTGCACATGCGCACCCAGGTGTCCTGGGTTATGGACTTCAGTATAAAGGACTAACAGCTCTGATACATGGTGCCCCTCGGGACACTCCAGGAGGCCACTAGGGCAGCTGCTCCTAGCTCTGAATAAAGCCTATTGATTTTTTACCCATGGCTCCCAGGATCTTTTCCTATTACCTAGCTCGTGGACCTGTGTGTGAAGGGTTTGTGACCCAGTCTGTACAAGGGGCTTGAAGGGTCTGTGAGCTCTAGTTGTGGCTTGACAGAAGACAAGACGCAGCACAGATCCTACACATGTTCTCAGGGATAAATAAGCAAGAAGGTTGAATAAAAAACGGGAGCAAAACAATTTCAAAACTTTACCTGAATGATAAAAGTGAGTCATTGAATTGGTGGGATTTTCATTAAACACAAATCTGAGATGAACATTTAAGATAAAAGTTATACCAGCTTTCAGGAATTAACAAATTGGAACACAATACTATCGGCCCAGCCTGCACTCTCAGTTGAGCTGCATGACATTAGGCAAGTTACCTAACTGCTGGGCCTCCATTTCATCACCAGTAAAGTGAATCAGCAGGTCTATGTAGTGCTTCCCAAATCTGAGTGGGCTTCAGAGTCCCTGGGAGGATTTGTTAAAGCATCACGGTGGCAGGGCCTTGCCCCAGAGCTGCAGATTCAGCAGGCCCAGGTGGGACCCAAAACATTGCATTTGTAACCAATTCCCAGGAGCAACCGATGCTGCTGGTCCAGGGACCACACCTTGGAAATGCTTGCTAAGACCCAATCCAGTTAGAAAACTTACTCTCCTATAGGGAATGAGGCAGAATTAGTTAATGAGTTGACTAATAGCTATAGTAAAGTTTTCATGTTGAAATTTGATGGGAGAAGGATTCTCTGAAGCATCACTAACCCTTAACCTTTTTTGAGAGCACAATTGCATGTTGGGTTGACACATATAGTTTAAAGACACATCTCAATAACAAGATGTGGTCCAGACAGCTGCCCTTGTGGGGACAGAGGCTGCCACTAAAACTCTGAACAATTACTTAAAATTAGACTTGTCAAATTTGTTTAGGGTGATCAAGCAAGTACATACATTGACCTAATGTCATTCTTCTTGGAGAGATGTGGTAATGATTTTGTATATCAGTCAAACTACTTAAACACTAATGCTGCCTTCATCCCGTGATCACCATTCTAGTCAGACGTCATTTTTAGAAGCCCTTGGGGATCTGCATCCTTTAATCATTCTTCAATACCCAAACCAAGCATTCTTTAATAGGTGTAAATTGAACAGTGTTCCAGTGCAAACAAGGAGAGGGCACACTGATCAATGACTCCATGCATGTGTATTGGAAAGTCATTGCTGTTAGGTAGGTAACAAATGCTTAACTCCTTTCGCTTCAGTGGAAATACCAGCTTGTGGAGCTGAGAAATACCACTTGTCATCACGACTGGGAAACACAGAGTGAGTTGTGATTCCAAAATATTAGCTTTTGAGGAAAGAGTTAAAAATATCCATCATAAAAATACACTCTGTTCCAATGTCCGAAACTGCATTCAGGATACTTTTATGTGAATCCAACTAGAAACAAAGTGTTTCTACCCTCCAGCGATCTTGTCTCTTTCTCTCTCTGAATTAGAAACAATATAAAAATTTTGTTAACTTGTCAAACCATTCTTTTTCTTTTCTTTTTTTTAGCTTCTGATAGTTTGTGATGCGTCTAAATCATCACACATCCGAGCTGTGGTCTGGTGACATGAAACAGGTGTTCTCTCCTACTTTTAAAACAACTGAAGAAAAACCACCACACTCAAGAAGCCCAGGAAAAACCCTTTTCATAAACGTCATGCCCACTTTTCACTCTTGCCTCTTTCTGACAACTTTCTCAATTGATCACATGTTACTGGGGTGGGAAGAAAAGGCAGGGACTGGCCCACCGCCCCCCGGCCCAGGTCTGCCAGCCTCTGTCTCCGAGGCTCAGGGACTGCTCTCTGACACCACTGGAGGTGAAGTGCCATGTGTGCTCCTTTCTAATCTGCCTGTTTTTTGACAAAATGTCCTGGTTCTTGGAGAGGAATCTTTCAGGTTGATTTAAGTTTGAGTTTTAAAGCAGTCCAGGGCAGAATGCTTAGAACGAGTGGAGAGGGAGAATGAGGGAGACATCAGCTTCTTTGACAGTCTTTGTTCAATAGCTTATACTCAAAGGCCACTTTTGGTGGGCAAGCTCATTTGGGCAGCTTGTCTTAGCACATTGTGCCATAATTTGTACACGTCCTCACAGAGCATATATTGCTTAGTCTTTAATGATCGACTGAGGGTGTTGAAGGTCATGGGGTGAACCTTTTGAGGGGGGTGTCTTGGCCTCTGGGTCATTGCTTGCAAGCACAGCTGGAGGGACGCAGGCAGAACACAAAGCCGTCATCCTGTGCCACCGCCATGGTCTCAAGGACCAGAGCGCTCTCTGTAGTATAAGAGCACATTCGCGGTGGGAAGCTGAAGGAGGTCAGTATTTAAAAAATCTGGATCAACTTCAAGAGTCTGAGAAAGCAGACTTGACAATGGGGTACAGAAATGACCTGCCCCCATCCCCACCTTTTTTGAGGGATCCCTCGGAATCTGCAGGTGTGACTCTCTGTCTCCTCTTTCTCTTGCACGACTACCTGACTTTCCTCAGCCTCCCCAGATTTTGGAAGGTCTGCACGAGCATTTGCATGTGCTAGGCACGTTGAAGTCGAGGATAGTCCGTGACTCTAAACCTGGTTTCTTCCCTTAGAAATCACATTACCTCTCCGGGTTTCGATTTCGTCATCTGTGAGATGAGGGAGGGAGTTGAACTAGGTGAACTCTAAGGTCCCTTTGAGACCTAACAGCCGAAGTCACTTTCTCCAATACCCACTCTCACCAAGGACAAGGGAAGGAGGCACATTACCTGTCTGTGCAGTCCCTGCTCCGATTCTCAGCCATGGACACCAGCGTCAAAGTCACTGCTCCCAAACCTTAATGCATTCAAGTCGTGACCTGAGATCATGTTGAAATGCAGATTCTGGCTCAGCAGGTCTGGTGTGGGGCCTGCGATGCTGCCTTCTTGACAACTCCTGGTGATGCAGCAAGGCATAAGTGACGAGGCTTGAGATGACAAGCTGCTGAAGGCTGGGGTCTGGTCCATTTTGCTACTGATGAACCTTCTGCACAGCCTGCTCAGGGTGCACAATTAGACTCATCTGAATTAATGAACACAGGGGATGTTCAGAGAGAAGAACAAGTCCTGGCTACTGATCCTGTGGTCAGATCTCATCCTCACCATCTCCCATTTTACCTTCAACTGGATCAGAGGCTTCTGGCAGCAGAACTGGCCTCTTGCCTCACTGGGCCCAGGGCTGTCATGGGGGCAGGAGGTAAGCTGGAGACTCAGGGGAGCTGCCGGGGGTGGGGGGGAAGGTTGTGTCCTGCTGCCTCTGTCCCCTAAGAGCTGGTTCCTGAGCTGTCACTGAGGTCTCAAGCCTATAGTCTTATGTGCTTTCTCTTTTCCCCGTAAGTTTCTCTTTGATGTTCATTTCAACCATGGCAAAATATTTTGGGGGAGCGCAGAGTCCCACACAGTGTGACTGTCCTCTGAGGACAGAGCCCTGATGGGGAAGCCGCATCCATGGGCGTGCTTCTGGCTGGCCCACTAACCAGGGCAGTGACTTCCAACCTAACAGGTCACAGATGGGCCTGTTCGTGGAGCTCCTGTGCAAGCTGCAGCACAGAGAATGAATGTGAGCTTATGTCTGCTTCACTGTGCAAGGGTCAGCCTGCTCTGGAGGCCGGAGATCGTGCCTCGTGTACCTCTGGGAACCTTTGGCCCCTCTCGAGTATCAGCACAGAGGAGGCTGGCCCTCTCCTGTGTCGCCCCCCCATTCTCTCTCCCCCTTCACTTCTCTCTGTCACACACATGCACTAACGGAAATGTTTGCTTTCTGTATGTAAGCTATTTTGAGTCCAGGGCTTCCTGGCCTTTTTACTGAGAAGAATAATTTGAACCCTGTCAAGCTCGCTGACAACCAGGCCTCTTCCCCAAGTCCGCGGGTCTGGGGTGGGGGGCACTGGGAATCAGTCCTCCCACCCCTTTCTCTTTCTCTCTCTCTCTTTTAAAAGTGCTCCAGTTGATTCTCACTTCAGGCACATTTGGGAAACAGTGTTCAGTGCAGGTGCTCAGCTTTGCTGCCCCTCGGATCACCTGGGAGGCCCTCAGAAGTCCCCGTGCTCAGCTGGGGATGGGACAGGCATCAGTCATGTTGACGGTTCCCCAGCCTATTCCCACCTGCACTCTCAGGGTTAAGAGCCCCTGGGATCGTTTCCGACAGACTCGTCCAGCTCAGGGAAGAAGTCGGGGTGCCCACCACCTCGTCTGTAAGGCCAGCGATTCCCTAACTTGGCTGCACATTAGAATCATCCAGGCAGCTCTGAAAAATCCTGATGCCCAAGTCACCACCACTTGCCAATGAAGTCAGAACGTCCGGGCTGCAGCCCGCCATCGGGATTTTGGAAGATGCCAGGTGACCTGGTGGTGCAGCGGGTCTGGGAGGCAGGCCCAGGCCGGAGCCTGCTGCACTGGGCGCGAGCCTCAGGGTGCCCGGGCCGCGCCTCTGGCTGCTGTCGCCGTGTGTCTGCAGTCGCGAGGCTGCGGGTCGTCCTTCCAGCCTCCCTGGGGTCTGGCGTCCACGCAGACGCTCCTCCTGGGCGTGCTGACAAGGACCTGGTGACTGCAGACACACGGCGACAGCAGAGCTCTGACCAGGAGGGGTCGGGCACAGCGTCCCAGGACCAAGGCGAGGCCTCAGAGTGACGCTCCTCCGCCGGCGGGACAGTCAGCGGTGCGGAGAGCTGGCATCAAGTCCCTGGAGCCTCGGAGTCCCACGACCCTTTGTGCCGAGCTCTCAATAGGCAGGCGACGGGGACGCCCGCCGGGAGACGCGCCTGCCTGCCCCACGCACGCGGGGACCCTGAGCGACACCGACGGGCTGTGACGCGGCTGCACACGGTCGCCACCAGGGCAGCTGTGACAAGCGCCGAAGCCTGGGCCCCACAGCAGAGACGCCGACCCGCGTGCTCCGGGGTGCGGGCTGGGCGGCGTTGTGGGGGACCCTCTGGTACCTGGCGTGGGCTGCAGGGCCGAGAACCGTCCCCCCTGCGCTGGTCCCAGTCCCGGCCCCCGTGAACTCAGCGCGGGAGGGCGGCGGCCCCTCCTGCAGGGCCGCGGGTCCCATTGCCAGCACCAGCCCCCACCCCCGCCTTGTTAATGGCTATTTTATTTTATTTTTTGTCGACTTGACATCCATACTCCAGACTTAGGACCAAACGTCCATCCACCAAAACCTGGACAAGCTCTGCTTTCTTTCTTTCTTCTTAATTATGGTAAAAAACACCTAACACAAAATTCACCATCTTAACCATTTTAAGGGTACCGCACAGCAGTGGTGACTATGGGCATCTGGCTGTGTAGCAGGTCTCCAGAATGTTCTCATCTCCCAAAACTGACACTCCGTACCTCTTGAACAACAGCTCCCCGTTCCCTCCCCCAGTCCCCGACACCCCCCATTCTACTCCCTGTCTCTGTGAAGGGACCACTCTAGGTACCTCGCATGAGTGGAATCACAGTGTCTGGCCTTTTGGGACTGGCTTATTCCGCTCAGCATAATGTCGTCAAGGTGCATCCACGTTGTAGCACGTGTCAGATTCTCCTTCCTTTCTAAGGCCGCGTAGTCTTCCGCTGTGTGTGTGTATATGTTGCATTTCATCTCTCCGTCCCTCTCTCGGTAGACACTTGGGCTGCTTCACCTCTTGGCTATTGTGAATAATGCAGCAATAAGCACGGGACATGAGGTCCTGCTTTCCATTTTTTGCAGATGTATTCAGAAGTGAGATTGCTGAATCATACGATAATTCTGTTTTTAATTTTTTGAGGAAACTTCGTACTGTTTTCCATAGTGGCAACACCATTTCCCAATCCGACTGACCGATTTCTCCCCATCCTTATCAACTTCTTTTCTTTTCTTTCTTCTTTTTTTTTTTTTTATAGTGGCTATCCTAATTAATGTGAGATAATATCTCAGTGTGGTTTTGATTCTGATTTGGATTTCTGTCATAATTAGTGATGCTGAACATCTTTTCATATGCTTGTTGGCCATTTGTATATCATCTTTGGAGAAATGTCTACTCAAGTCCTTTGCCCATTTTCTAATCATGTTTTTGGATTTGTTGTTGTTGTTGTCATTTTTTTTTTTTTGTCTCTTTTTTCGTGTCCGGCAACAGATCGCAACCCTCAGTGTCGCGCCCGTACAGGACCGGGACTGGCAACGGGATCGCAAGCCTCGGCGTTGCGCCCGCACCTCGCTCAGCCAGTGAGCGGGAACGGGTCTGTATGTGGGATCCTAACCCTCGGCGGGAGCGCCACCGCGCTTCCCAAGCAGCGCACTGTAGCAGTGCGCCACCAGGCCGGCCGTTGTTGTCATTTTTATTGAATCATAGTTCTTTATATATTCTGGATATTAACCCCATATCAGATATATGATTTGAAAACATTCCCTCCCATTCTGTATGCTGCCTTTCTGCTCTGTTGATTTGTTTCTTTTGATGTGCAGAAATTTTAAGTTTAATGTAGTCCCATTTGCCTGTTTTTGCTTTTGTCATCTGCATTTTTGATGTCACATCCAAGAAATTATTGCCCAATCTGATGTCATGAAGCTTTGCCCCTGTGATTTCTTCTAGGAATTTTAGAGTTTTAGGTAGGATGTAAATGTAAGGTTTAGGTCTCTGGTTCATTTTGAGTTAATTTTTGTATAGGGAGTAAGGTACGGGTCTAACTTCCTCCTACTGCATGTGGATTTCCACTTTTCCCACCACCATTTGTTGGACAGCCGCGTTGTGTGGTCTTGGGACCCTTGTTGAGTGAGGTCCTTTCTTGTTTGAACCTGGCATTCATTCTGTTTGTCACCAGGGGAAAACTCCTGGGATACATTTGCCC